ATATCATGAGAGAAAACTCTTAGACAATTCTGAATTGTTTTTAGTTTCCTAGGGACACTTTTCAGGACAGGGAGAGCAAGTGTCTCAACTTTTGGGTGGAGATAACACATTATGGATATTTAAAATTTGAAAACTAAAAGTAACCTTGAGTATATTCAATCATTGCTGAAAATTCTACCCACTAGGGGGCAGTTGAATGCTCAAAACATTCCTGTAGGTCTCCTGAGTACCTTTCTGATTTAGCAAAAAATTTCCTAAAATGTTTGAATGGATATTTCCTTTAAGACTGCTTCATATCATGAGAGAAAACTCTTAGACAATTCTGAATTGTTTTTAGTTTCCTAGGGACACTTTTCAGGACAGGGAGAGCAAGTGTCTCAACTTTTGGGTGGAGATAACACATTATGGATATTTAAAATTTGAAAACTAAAAGGGTTTTGGCTAAAAATAAAACATACTCAAGTTTTCTTCTAAGGCACATGCTAGGCCTTTAGTGCAATAATAATCATGCACTAGGGACCAGCAGTTGGCTTAATGGCTATGTCGCAGGACTCCCATGTAGTCAACTGTGGTTTGAATTCCAAACCTGGTGGCATAAACTCATGCCAGGCATGTATGCTTGTATGCCCAAGATCCCAAGAGGAGAATGAAGGAGAGGGGATTGTGGCAAAGCCATTCCCCCCCCCCCCACCGCTGGGGGAGTGATTTCTCACTTTCTGTCTCTCTGGTCAGCACACGTGCCCTATGGCAAAAACCTCTTAAAAAATTATACACTAGTGAAGCATGATTTAGGCTCTCAGAAAAGTTGGAGAGGATGGAAAAATATGTTGGGATAAAATGTATTCTGGCAGATACTTCCCATATCACTCTCATCATAGGCCTTTCTTAGAAGTTTTCAAAGTATTTTAAAAAGTGAACAAATTTGAAAGAAAGGGAGTCTGAGAAGATGGTTGAGGTGAAGAGAAAATGGCAAATGGACAATAGTCACTCTTTCAAGGAACACTCAATTTATTCAGAGAACATTCTGCTAATACTAAGGTATCAGTATATTTATTTTCTACTTTAATACAGATGGGCCATAATTGATCTAAGTCTTAAACTGTTACTGGAATAACATTGTTCATTATTTTGACACTATATGTAGCATGACAGATTATATATTTTATATACTGGTGTATTTATTATTTTGCATTTATTTGGGTAAAATATATACTCCATAAAATTTACCATCTTTCCTCTAAATGTTCTAGGAGCATCACCACCAGCCATGTTCATGACTCCTGTCCTCTTATAAAACTGAACAATCTAAACCATTAATATATAATAATGTTAAACCTTTCAAGTTTTCCCACCTAACACAGCCTCTGGCAGCTACCACTCATTTTGTACTTATTATTACTACTCTGAACACCCATAACTGTATTTATTGCGGAAGGAAGTCCCCCAAAATTTGAAACGTATTTGAAGAAATGGACTCAATGACACTGGTTAAACTGGAATAAGAATAGCTTTACTTTGGACCATCATGGTAAGCATATGGTCCATTGAAAAGGGAGTTTGTAGTGGGGAAGAGAGATTGAACTTAACTTCAAAACGTGTGAACTGTGGAAATTAACAACTGAGGAGCCATGTGGTGATCATCAGATAGAAAATTACTAAGGAAACATTAGAGATATGAGAGATTATGGATAAACTGAAAAAACAAGATTCTTACTGAAGACAGAGTGATCAGACATCACTGTGGGGGTACTGAAAAATAAGAAACTTAATCACTTATTTAAAGTGATATGATATTTAGAGTGGGGCTTCTTGGAAACTACCTCAGCAGGGTTCTTTGCTAAAAGAGATTTTATAAGGAAGTACACAGAGGAAAGTAAAAGATTGAGAGGCCTGTCTAAAGTTTGATCAAGCCAAAAGTTTGACACATTTTAACGATGTCTAAGTACATGCAATTTATTACTGTGCAGTATACTCACATTACTGTGCAACCAATCCAGTCAGTGTTACAAGATACAAATAGTCATACAGCTAGCAGTAATGCTAGACAATGTGAGTACACAGAGTAAGTTTGGTCATCTCCCTTTTCACATTCTAGCTCATAATGACTTCCACCACTCTTTTTCTGTCATTGTTGACCAGTTACCTAACATCCCATCCACCATGGTTTGGTCTGGTCTACCTGGGCCATCTGGTGATGTTGGACAAACCAAAAGCAGCCCAATAACAATTCCCCTTGGGTTGCTTTCTAGAACAATGGTTGTTCTGCTTTAGAATTTCTTGGCTAATGCTGGCCACAAAGGCTATGGTCAACATCCAAAGAGGATCTTAGAAATTTTATAACCACCCATGACTATGCTGTCCCCCAACACACCCACACGCTACGCATGCCTCCTGTTCAGCCTAGATCAGTTCCATTATCAAAGTGAACTTGGACTTTTCACCAGAGGCACTCGTGAAGTGAGCTGTCAGTGCATATGAGTAGTTTCCAAGTGGTGGAAAACCTTAGAATTTTTGTTTGTTTTATTTTATTTTTATTAGGCCTTTACTGTACATTTTATTTCTTTATTTTTTTTTATAATTTTAAACATTTAATCACTACACATCACTTAGCTTGTAAGTTGAATTTACCCAAAATGAATACACTTCCCACCAGTCTAGGTGAGGATGAAAACACATTATCATCAGCATATCATAATCCATTTCTGGTATCCCATAAATGTCTTGACTATTTTCCTCCCTTATTTCATTTCTTTCACTCTCCCCCTTCTCCCACCCTTTCCCCACATTGACTCCAATATTTAAAAATTTCCAATGCCTCTATGTACTCTAATCTTTCAGTTTCCACTATGTCTTGAAACACTTTTTCTGTTGTCTTGCATACCATGGCCAGAACTGGAAGCTAAACAAATTTTTATATTCATTTTTATTTCTTCCAAAATTAGCAATAACATTTTCTTGTATCTTTAACCATCAAACAAAGGCCTTAGAAATACATTTTTGCTGGGACCAGCAGATGGTGTAATGGATAAACAACAGGACTATAATATATTCCACTGTAGTTGAAGTCCTAGATCAAGTGACTTAAAACTCATGCCAGGTGTGTGTGCATGTGTGCCCTAGATCCTTAGAGGAGAATGGAGAAGGTATTGTGGTGTGGCCATCCTCCCAGGGGGGTGGTTTCTTGATTTCTGTCTGTCTCTGTCTCTCCAGAGAGCATGCAAACCCTGTATTAAAAATCTCTCAAAAAAAAAGCAAAGAAAAGAAAAAAACACCAATTTGCCAAATAAGTGTTTTACTTCTGTAGTTGGAAAATTCTTAGATCTTAGTCATCAGCCTTCTGAAATGTTCCCCTTTTGTAGTCATAGATATCATCCCCAAATTTATTTTCTGATGCCTTAATTTTGAGTACTGTGGCTTGCTGAATCAAAGCTGAATTTGAAAAATGTTCAACATTGTTACCTTAAGAGACCAATTCATATTTCTGAATAATGACTCATGGATTTATAGCACAGTTTACATTACTAAGGATTTTCTCCCATTTCAGTTGACTAATGTATAGTGAGTTTTGAATTCTAGTAAAAAGATTTCCTCATTTATCACATTCATTAGATTTCTGATCTGAGAGTTCTCTGATACACAGTAAATAGTGGATTTTTATTGCAGAAGGTTTCACTACACTTTTTTCTTTCTTTTTTTGGAGATTTTTTTTTTCTTTTTTGCTATAGGGCGCGTGCGCTCGCCAGACAGAGAGATGGAAAGTGAGAAATCACCCCACAGAGGGGATGGCCATGCCACAATCCCTTCTCCTCCACTCTCCTCTTGGGATCTTGGGCACACATGCACATGCGCCCGGCATGAAGTTAAGCCACGGAGTCCGGGACTTGAACCGCAGTCGACTACATGGGAGTCCAGCGACATAGCCATTACGCTAACTGCTGGTCCCAGTTTTACTACACTTTTCACCCTTACAGAGTTTCTCTTCTTTGTTAGTGCTCTAATGTAGAGTATGGAATGATTACTCTGAAAACATTTTTCTACACCATTCCCACTTATAGGACTTACTGTTGCATTCTCTAATATACAGTAAGGGTTGACTTATATTAAATGGAAGATTTCCTATTGGTACATTGACATTCACAAGGTTTTTCTTTTGTAAATTCTCTGATGTACATTGAGGGCTGACTTATAAATGAAAGACTTTCTATGCTCCCTACATTCATGAAATTTCACCCCAGTGTGAGTTTTCAGATGCTTACTAAAATATAGTATCCAAAAGAAAAATTCCCTATATTCTTGCCATTAATAAGGATTCACTTCTATTTGAGTCCTCTGATGTAAAATGAGCCCTTCCTTCCAGTAAAATGTTTCCTACACTGTTGGCATAGTGTTTCTCTCCAGTGCAAGTTCTCTGAATGTACACTGAATGCTGACTTCAAGAAGAATGTTTTCTCACAATTTTCATATTCTTAGGGCATCTCATATGAGTTCTCTGATGATTAGTGAGTTGTGACTTCCAGGAGAATGTTTTTCCACATCGTTTACATTCATAGGAATGCTTTCCTGAGTGAGTTCTCTGATGTACAGTGAAGTATCCCTTGCTGGAGAATGTTTTCCTACATTGTTTGGATTCATGTGGTTTCTCTCCTGAGTTTTCCTATATATATATATATATATAAAACAAGTGCTGAC